GATTTTGCAGTTTTCGAAGTGGTTATAACTAAATAAATTCCTATTTTTAAGGTTGCGCCAGTATTGCAGCCCAGAAACGATTTTTGAACCAAGATCATCAAGGACAGTGCAAACAGAACGAAATGCAAACGGAATGCAAGCATCATTTTAAAAGCATCATCATGGTCGCATTTTAAACAAATAATCTAGGGTTTCATTGATTTGAAATTTATCCCTATCATGTCACAAGTAACGTATTAACCAGATATCTCACTGACATCGCAGACTTCTTTTATCAACATATTCTATGGGATAAACGCTTTTAAAAAAATTACGTTCTTCAAAACGACGTATCATCCAGTCTGTGACCGATTTCGTTTTCAATTTCAAATACAGTTCACATACAAGCATTTTCTACAAGCGTTTTGAGCACAGGTGTATAGTATGCTGCTACATCGATCAATTTTCATTGCAAAGGATTATATATTACACATTCAGGCCATGATAAATCATTGCAAAGGATTATATATTACACATTCAGGCCATGATAAATATATTGCTTGCATCACAGGACCATGATTTCAAAAATGTTATCTCTCTAAAGATCTATTAAAAGATGATTTTCAAAATTTTTTATATCCTCCTCGCAATTTCAGTCATTTCAATTCACTTCTTTTAGCTTTTCTGATTGCATATGATATAATTATACTTACACCTTTTTCTTGATAAGCTATTTATTTATTATTTTGTGTTTTAGTTCTGAACCGATCAACAGAGAGCTAGCTCATGAATTAGCGCTTTGAAATTTTTGAAAGTCTCAAGTAGGCTGCGTAGACAAGCATCTTTATTTGCTTTCTTTAATTAATTTTTCATAGCGACGTGGTGGCTATTTTTTCATTATGTATTTATAGCTGAACATTTTCTGGGTTTCTGGTTATTTAAGAGGTAGTTTTTCAAGGATACGTTTTCTAAAGATATTTTCCAAGTCACCTGCAAAATATATATATGGAATCCCAAATATTTTAGTTCGTAAAATGTTTCTTAATTATATTGAAAATAATTCAGTAGATGTTTAACACTTCATGAATATTACAGCTACTTAACCGCATAGCGTGCATCTACCGTGAAGTAAGCCAAGTTTCCGTTTCCAGATCCTATTTTGTGTTTCAGATTAATTAAGTTAATGCACTGATACCTTTCTGTATCTGTGACGTGTAACTCTTTATGGGCAGAGTTGCAGAAATTCGAATAGAACTCAGTAAGCCCCAAGCCTAAAGATCGTGAAAGCGCAGACGAAGACATTTGATTCAATTCTGTTCGCCACAAATTAAATGCATATCTTCTCGGGTTTATTCTAATGCTCACATATCTTATTAAAATATGTTTAATTTATAATCTTGGGTGCAAGGTTTCGAATTTAATCTTTCCACGCATTTCACATTGATGTGTGATTATTAGTGCGTTTAGAGCTCGCAATTCTTGAGTTGTCAAACGCCCAATATTTTCCCGTATTTACTAAAGCGATATTGTTATTATAAAATACGACAGAGAATTTTCGAATTTATAATTTTAAGGAGGTGATCGTATGATCATTTAAAACTAATTACAGTTCAAATAATTAAGGAAAGCAACTCCACAGTAATCTTGAGAGAGGGTAGCAAGTGTTCAAAACTATGATTTGTCTCAATTTGCAAGACCATGGCAAGCGACGAGGCTGTGTGTTAAAAACTGCGCTTGTGATCCTTTGCCTTTAGATCTTTCTGTTGCTCATAGGTGGGGAAGTGTTGTTGGTTGAGTATTCAAATTTCAAAAAGCCAAATCAAAGGCAAATTTATGTTACTTAATCTTATGCGATGTAGTTAAAAGTAATTATATAAAAAGGTTTCGTTTAGTTCAGCGTTTGTCAAACTTTTTTCAAGTAAGGTCCACTGTTATGAATTATAATATTTTGCGCACAGCCTTAGCTACCCCTTCGACAGCATTTATTTTAGCCTATATTACTATCAGTATACATACCTTTTTAAATGAAATTAATTATTAATTGACTTTATTTTACACTGATATTAATCTAGAGGACCTCTAGAGCGGGCTTCAGGGACCAAAGATTGAGAAACTCTGATTTAGCTTACTGAGATGTATTTTCATCTGCTAACAGAACTCTTAAGATACAACGTCCAAAGCTGCAATTCCCCTTAGGCTCCATTCCTTGAATGATGAATTTGCATGCAGTGTTCGTGATTTTTTTGCGTACCTAACCTAAATTCGGTCTACCTTCTTTCAGAATATCTTTTATAAGAACATACCTGTCCTTAGGTATATTTCTCGATCACCTAATGAATACTTTCCTTGGATTTTATTCTGCTGTGATTAGGGTTTTTGACTTTCTTATACGCCATTTAAACACCAGAAAGTTTCTTTTTCCGCCTGTGTTCCACTTTGATACCGCTTTAGCGCCAGATCTGTTTTACCCTCCAAGTCCGCCATCTTGACGCACTGTTCTGTTCGGAGGTTATACATGTAAGTAAAAACATGTCTAATTTCATTTCCACTGTCTCTAGGAATACAGTCTCTTTCTAGGATCATATTCATACGATCCATATATTTATTTGCTTCACATAGTCCTTTGAGTCCATTATCTCACTTATGGAAGTCGTTCTTTCCATTTTGAACGCTTTCACAAAATTTTTAAATAATCACCAAGATCACGTTTTCTCTCTGGTACACTGAGGTTCACACCAGAGAGATGAAGAAGATGAGTCCGGCTTTGGACCCTCCTAGGAGGAAGTCCCCCGAGCACTTATCCTGTAGATAGATGGCCTAATATGTTTTGAAGCAATCCAAGAATCCCTTGTCCTCTAGTAAATAGATATGCCTCATGGGATTATGACGTTCACCCATGCCTATCCCACGGTCTAAGGGGTTGGCACATCCAGCTAGCAGTTGGGAGACATAAGGTTCGAATGCCGACGAGAACAATTCAATTTGGCTGTTTTCTTCTTGCAAAAATCACATTAATCTCTTCAGTGACGCTCGAGGTAAGTAATTGGTAGTGGTGGGCATGCTTCTGGACTGATTCCTAGGGCGGGTCCTGGATTTCAATTCATTACCACTTGAAATTGGTGCGAATACGGTGAGGATCCACGTGACTTCATGTTTCTCGGCTTCGAAAATTTTAGTAGAGTCTAAAACGTGTAAATAAATTCAGAGTGTAATCAGGTATTTCAGTTTAAAAATAAAAAAAGCAACACATAGGGAGTGGATAAATTCTAATTAATGTAGTTTAGATTTAACCTTCGATATCAAAATTAATGAGATTTAAAATATATATTTTGTACAGTTTATTTCAATTACAGTATTTTAAAATATATAAATAACAAGTAATTTTATAGCTTTTCAAGAATCACTGAAATATTAGCAGTCAGCCAAAATGTCAATAGAAGGAAAATTGCTTTACAGATCTAAAAGAATCACAAGCATATCGTCTTATATAACTGACAATAGCATGAGCACTTTATTTTCTAAATATTCTGTGTAATATTATGAATAAATTCTTTTACGCTTATGAACGATTTTTCAGATTAAAAGATTATCATCTTTCAACATATATGAAATTTCATAACATCATATTTTGTAATTCCGTATAAAGAGCGCTTATTATGCCTAAAGATCACTTATTATGCCTCATTCGTTTATTATGTCTGTGAAAATGCAGACGAAAGCCACTTGATTCAATTCTGTTTGTCACAAATAAAACGCACATCTTCTAAACGCACATCTAGGGTTTATTCTACTACTAGTAAATCTTTTTATAATATGTTTAATTTATTAGTTAAAGCTTAACCAAAAGAGTTAACTATGTTTAGGGACATCTAGAAGGAGTTAAGCTTCTGGGTTTTATCAATCACATTCATATATAAGGTCTTCAGCTTGAGCGCTTTATTAACGTTATTCCAAATAATAAAGCTCAGAATATTCTTTTATACATTTAATACGTTATCATAACTCCTTTTGCGGTTGGACACATACCCAAAAGTTATTTTGTTTCAAGCTAAGAACATTCGCCATATCGCATTGTTGACTTCAGCTCAAAATCTGCCGAGAAATCTTCCAGTTTACGCACCTAGTCTTTAATAAACCTCACAGGAAAATGTCAGATGTTTGGGGCATCCAGAAATGTATGATCTATTCCCCAGCTCAAACAGCAATGAAGTAATCATCCAGGCATATGGTCATCCAAGACCGTGGTGATATAAGAGCAAAGTAAGCGGAAGCCATACTTTGATGTTTGATGGTAGGGATGTCCACGCAATAATGCCGATCCTCTGTCCGTCCGTTCTGGTACAAAGTGGTCATCTAAGAATGAATATATAAAATTGCTAAAAGTGAAGGCGATCTCCATCTTACTGAAAGATGATCCTACAGAATGTTATATTCGTATAAGATAGCCAGATATCTAATACTCTTCAAAAATTCAGGAAACTTGCTGCCAAAAGCCCTTGATGAATAAATTTTGGAGCTGTGCTTTGAATTGGTGCGTACTTTCTGTTATTAGAAAAATTACTTTGTATGTTCAAAAATTTTTCTGTTATACGCTAGAGCGTGTCACATATATTCTGAAGTTTTTCAGTACATGTTCAAAATGCATTAAATTATAAAACAAATTTTAAACTTTTTATTGATTTGAAATTTTTATAAATGAGTCAAATAATAAATTTAACGTACTTAAAATTTTTATAATGATAATAATTCATCATGATAATTTTCGAGCATTATTAATAGTATACTGAAGGAGTTGGTATATATAATTTTATTTTTACATGGTAAATATATTTCACAACCTAAATATAAAGCTTAATTAATTATACGTTTATACAGATTGTGCTAATAAATGCTTAAATTCTTATAACGGTTGAAAAATTTAATGTTTGTATAAAAGTGGTGGTGAAATCAATTTTTGTCCTATAATTTCATTTAATTCTTGTTCGAGAAAATTTATTTATAGCTAAATTTTCTTTTTTCAGCTCCGGGAGTTACACAGTGTGGTACGTATACAAATGGTATGCAAATAATTAATATATTTTTCTAATTTTCTAGGATACATTGCAATATTTAATTTTTATTTTGTGCAGTTAATAATGTGAACAATAAAAGCTCTGAATTTAATGTTGTTAAATTTATTTAACGGAAAGTCATTTAAATGAAAATAGGATTTATGAATTTATAGAACTTACTGATTTTAAATGAAATTAAGTAATGTTTATTACCTAAAGAATAACCTAATTACGAAAACACTTTATTTCAAAATGACTATTAATTTAGATTAAAAGAAAACTTCTTGGAAGTTCAAAATGATCATTAATTTAGATTAAAAGAAAACTTCTTGAAAAATGTTTCTATTAATTTATACTATAAATAGAATGTATGTTTTCATAATTATCGTTTAGAACCAACATTAAGTTTTATAAATAAATTTCTAAAACTCAAAAACCCATGAAATAATTTCGAATAAAAGTGCATTTTGATACTATATCCTTTTCAGCCGCCCTCCTAAGTATCCCAGTTAAGTAATTTTATATTATGTAAAGTACGTGGAAAAATACGACGTAATTATTTTTATATATAAAGTATGTTGAAAGGAAGAGAAAATTTGAAAATGTAAATTACGGATTCCTAGAAAAATGAAGTTAGTCGGCAGTATTTTGGAACAAGAATCTTATTTCAGTTTTATGGTTGAATTATGCATCGCAAGACAAAATCTAACGATATCTTTTCCAAATATATATTTAGTAGGGTAAATTAAATGCCTTATATCTAGAACTGTTTTAATGTATACTTGGTATTTATCTATCGAAAAAAGAGTAATATTTAAAAGATATTTCTGAAGTTTAATATATAAGTTAGTTAAACTGGATTTTTTACAATGGCGAAAAGCTCAAGGTTTTCTTCATGTCGATAATATACAAACGTGATCCAAAAGTAGCGCCCATCAAACTTGCAATATAGTGCAAAATTCCAAAATGGATATAAAAATGGTAAATTGCTTAAATGGATAACACACCTACATTGTTACAAACAATACATCACTTAAAATGTCATTTGCTGTTAGGTTTAAATATTAGTTATCTAGTATAAAATGAATTTTTATGATTGAGCCTTACTTCGCACCACATTCTTACAGAATAGCTACTGAAGCATTTAAAGAAAACTTTTCAAATGTTTGAGAATCTAAAAAGATAGTGATTTTTCGCTTTGTAATATGAGTTCAAGAAAATGAAAACGTTCACCATAAGAAAAAGAAGTGAATGTGCGTCTCTTTTGAGTTCGAACGAAATGAATGAAGTCAGTAACAAAACATTGCTATCCCTAAGAAAGAATAAGAAAGATGGTACTACAATAATGAAAAATAATGCTTAATCATAAAAATTTATTCTGCTTAAGGAAAACTCATTTCCATGTTGCAGTAAACAAACAAATAAATTGCAACAGCATAAATTGAAACGGAAATTTCAAGTGATACATTGCTTTTAACCGCGTAGAGTCATTAGGTTATTTCGGAAGCAAAGGAAATAAAAATTAGCAACCGCCTTCGCCGGGAATCGAACCACTGACCTCTGGAATACCGATCCAGCGTGCAGAACCACTACACCACAAAGGCACGCTAGGAAAGCGGGAGAAATACCTTATATACCTCCTCTTTAAAAGAACAACTGAGGGTTTTTTTTTTAGGAGACCCATTCGACAAATCTTGGGTGTGGGAATCCTCATCCAACACCCTTTTAGTTCGGGCGCCACTGTAGAGTCATTAGGTTATTTCGGAAGCAAAGAAAATGAAAAAATAGCAAGCGGCGCCGGGAATCGAACCACGGAATCTCTGGGATACCGGCCCAGCGTGCAGAACCACGACACCACGAAGGCACGCTAGGAAAGAGGGAGAAATACTTTATAACCGTATAGGAGGTGTCATCCATTGAAACAATTTGCCATTAATATCCTTACTAGAATGCTTACAGTTTTTGAATTTTAATCTTCTCGACTGTTGTATGGTTCTGTATAATTTTCTATAGAAAACTGGCCTATTTAACTTATCTGTAATATGGAAACGTAATAGTGTATAGAAATATGTAATATGTATGTAGAAAATCTGTAGGAAAGAACGAACATGCTTAGAAATAAATAATAATCATATATATGTCAGATATTTGTTTTTTATATGCCGTAACAAGCATAATAGGCGTGGGCACTAGCAATATTGGGCTTTGGCCAATGCTAAAACCGGAAGCAGTGGTCACTTTATTATATAGGCACGTAATAGATGGACCAACGTTGCCTCCCGTGAAGGAACAATTTACATCCGTGGCATTCTACGGGATTCGAATCTGGGTCCTTCGGTACGACAGTCAGAGTCATTAACATTTTCCTCTCTTGGTGGAATATGTATGGGAGATATGAGACATGTAAAGTTTTCAAATGAGATTTTCTTTTATAAAGAAGAACAAGGACCCAGACAGACTAAGATGTGAGAAACTTGTTAAAACCACAACCAATTAAAAATCTAATATAAATGACGCTTAATTAATGAAGATAACACCAGTGAATACAACTGAGCATTGGTTTTGTCTCTGGATAACCGAAAAATATATTTCTGGGTTAAGTGTGAGTGAAATGATAAATATTTCATTAGTTCTCTATTCTGTAAACAAAAGAACGTTATTTTCAAAATTATTTCGTTTCAATAATGAATTAGGTAATTTCAAACAAAGAGGTAGATATGAAATATATTCTGAAAAATGAATGAATATACGCATATTTTGATAACACCTAATATAAATAAGATAATACAAATAAGATTCGCTGCAAAAGTTTGCTCAGAAATATATTTGTGTTTTCCGTTAACAACTCTGAAAATAATTTAACAAATTTCTTAGGAATTCTTTGAAATTACAATTATACCCTAAACTAGTTTCATACGCCGAACCGAAAATATACTCCTGTTTCATAGTTTAGCTATAATATAGAGAATTATAATTTCGAGATAAAAATATTCTTTTATTTTTACGAGTACCTGTCATTTTTTTGTATTTTTAGTCCAAAGGGGCTTTGTCCCTGAAGAACTATGGTTTTTGTTTTGCCATTTTGCGTTGAATCACTATAAATGTCCGTTTCACTTTTCAAACTGTTGCCACCAAATGTTAGAGTCCTGCATTATATTTGAAGAAATTAAATAAGGAAAAATCTGCATAAATGTATGTCTATTTCTCGCATTGTGATAAAACAACGGTACATAGAGCCATCGAATTTTGAATGACGTAATCTTCTTACGAATATGGACATGTGGAAGACCAAATTTGAAATGCGGAATTTGTTTTATGATCGATTTCATATTTTGTAAAAATTTAACGGATTTTTGAGTAACAAAATAAACAATTTAAATCCGAGCAGTGGCAACACTCTGCGGGGAAAAAAGACTTTTTTATCTCCAGCGCGCGGAACTATGTATCGGAAATTCTAAAGATATGTTCATTTTAAAATTATTTTGCGATATTGCTATTGAACTTAATTTTATGGTTTAAGTGCAAAGAACATGATATTTAATAAATAAAGGTAACACACAAAACGTTAAAAAAACACCTTATGGGATATTGTTTGAAAATCTGAAACCTTTCAGATTTTTTTTATTTATTTATTTTTGAACCTACCAAGGTTAACATCAAGGAAATGCATTTAGATGAGCATCTTGCAGCTTACTGGGCATCAATGGTTGATTGGTTTTCTTCCCACCAGTATCTCGTGGTTTTCGATCTTGAACTTCGCGATTACCCTAAAAGCTGTTAAAAAGAAAAAAATTCTTCTAACATACTATTGAGTTTCCCAGGAAATTTCTATTTCGTGATTTTCTTAAGCTGAAGTTCAATGAAGATTTCCTTAATGTTGTGAAATGTTGACGCTCCTTCTTTCGGGTAGAAGACTTCGGAAGTTGATAAAACAGACACTGTATCCAGAAGCTTTGACAACTTGTTTCAGTAAGTTTAAGCGGATGTGGTTGTAGCGTCAGTGTTTTCCGCAGACCAGGCAAGGGATTTCATTTACGATTGAAAATCCCTCAGAAAAATTTATTCAGGTTTGGCCAGTCTTTTCTGTTGTACTCTGTCTTCGTGTTCTTGCTGACCTAAAGGCAGATATAACAAAGGCAATCAGTAAAACTAACTTTAAGATCCTTAAAAACATTACCATTTTTTAATCTCCAGGGACCTCGAAAATTTATTTATCATATTTCAAAATATTTAATAAGATCTTAATAATACTGATATTCCTTTACGGACTACACTAAGTTATCAAAATTAGTAATGGTTGTTGTAATTAGAAAAATGTCCTTCTTGAGATTCTCAGAGCTCACAAGAGCTGACATTAAAGCCTATACATTTCCTTGTGTTACCTCATCGAAAATATATCCAAGTTCCATGCTCATCCCTAGCAATTATTTTGAAGTAGACTTTCGAAGTCTTCAACACCTTTCATCAAGTATGTTTTATTCTTTTCTTGATAACATCGTCGCAGATGTTGCAAACACAGTGGATTCTGAATGATATTTTCAGCCTCGATATAGCATTTCTCTGACACCGTTTCCCCCCCCCAAAAAAAACATTATCACTTCTTATTAGTAGGACTAGCAAGTGATCAACGTGTTCAGCAGATAAGGTTGTAAAAATGGATCAGGTCTTTCTTTTAACGTAGTAGATCAACAGATGTGCCTATTTCTATAACAAAGAGATGGTAATAATAAGATTCTCAAGGAGCTGTCCAGTAGATCTCAAAGGAAAATTTAAAACGGCGAAAAAACTTTTCTTCCCTCTTTAAGCTTAAAATAATAGAAAATACACTTAAAACTAAAACAATTGTATTATATAATGTAATATGTGATAAAAGCTTTGCTCGCTTAGAAAGATATATATCTTTACGAAATGAAATTTTTAGAAAGGTATTTTAAACACGTTGGGAAATTTACATTCTCCCTTGCACAGTGCTGACGATGCGTTAAGTTCAATGCTAAATAGTCCCA